ATTGGTCAGGATAGGAATTTAATTAACTATAAGGTCTCCTTATTCCTGAGGTTGAATATTTACTTCTTACTCTTTAATTCACGTAATAATGTGTAAAGCTACACTGCTCTAATTCTTGATAAAGGGTTATACAATGAATATCACCTTGTAGAAAACTGTGTATCAGAGACTGATATGGGCAGTTGGTGTAAAGTAGAATGAAACTTGCACAGAGTTGTTTGTCAGAGGGCTGGCTACAATCAGAGTTTAAGTCGAGACTGTGCAAGGTGATACACAAGAGATGGCTTATGATGTGCCCTCCATTAAGTTGAATTAGTCTTAAAGTTGTTGGTCAGTCACGATCTCTATAATAGTCTTAATATGGAAAGATTAGCGGGAGAAGCTGCAATCTCTGCTTGCTCTTAACCATTCTAAGGCACCATTGATATTCATCCCCTTCCTTTACTATGCCACTTTGTACCATAACTAACAGAGAACGAAAGAGTGCATTTCCCAAATTCTTATCAGTAATAAAGATTGTTGGCAAAAACAAAAGTGCCAATATCAGATAAAAAATGGAATCGTGTTGCTTTATTTTGCTATTTGATTTACAGCAAATCAAAGCACACTAAGTTTACATTATCTGTCATGTTTCTTCTTTTGTAAAGACCACATTCTGCTCCTTTTCTGATTAACTTGAGCATTTCCCTAATTTGGCTTGATTTTTAAGGGCTCAGAACGAATTAATGAATTCAACTGTAAATCCAGAAAATGTGAATGACCAATGAGAAACAGATGTGGGGCAATGGCAGTATTCTAGTGCCTTTTTAACCATACTGGATAGGTTGTTGCTTATTTCTCTGTACTAGTTGCAAAATAGACTGTTATGATTAAAAAAAAAAAAGCTCTGAACCATTAGGCTTGAGTTTTAAACCCAGGATTATGATGAGTACCATACTTCTTATAAAACTAAAAGGAGGATGTTTTTAAAGTACACCTTATATTGATATTTCTGGACCAAAGTGTCATTAATAATTTGAAAATATTTTCTGGTTCTGTTTAGATAATAGAGTCAAAGTACTTGAACGAGTCATGCGCATGCACAGCACATTACTCTAATTTTCCCCATTGATTATCACCAAGGTAGGAGTACAAGTTGAGTTTGCAGGTTTATCAGCCACTTGCAGCACTGTTTACATTATGTGGGCCTCCTTAAAACCCATGTCATGGAACCAATTTAATTTTCTGCTCAAGAGCACTGTTTAATTTACATTCAGGGTGTTCCGTTGTTTGAGTTTTAGGCTTTTTGAGAAAATAGTTTTATCAGAACACTTCCTAAGGCAGGTAATAAATTCTAAGTTGCAGACTATCGCTGAAGAAATTTAGACAGGTGCCTACTCATTAATTAATTCCCCTACGTAAATTAGCATTTGAGTGGATGTTACAAAAAGGCAAGTTTCAGTTCAAAACAAAGAAAATATTTAATAATTTTAGCGGCTTAAAATTGGAGAACACTCCCTTGAAAGTCAGTGAATTCTTAGTCACGATCAGGGTTAAATGTCCAGAGACTCAATTGTTTTAGAGAATGATTCCACTGGGAGTGAGGGATCGCCTCACTTGTATCTCTATAAGGGTGGCCTAAGGCCTGCACATTAACAAACAACCCTAATATAGGCTTAGTACAACATAATTTTCTCACATGCTAAAAGCCTGAGAGAGGTTGAGGCTGGTACGTAGCTGGCTTTGCTATTTCTTGTCACTTTGGGACTCAGTTTCATGGGAATTTCATCTTGGCATGAGCTTCTATTATTACTAGAATTAAGGCAAGGTGGTGAATTAGAAAATGGCTCTTAAAGATTTTTCTTATAAGTGACGTTCCATTTTATTGGCCAAATGTTATTTAACCTGTGAAAAGAAGGAGATCTTGCTATTTGCCACACCATAGATGGACCTAGAGGACATTTTGTTAAGTGGGAAAAAAAAAAAAAAAAAAAAAACAGGCACAGAAAGAAAAATATTGCATGGTTTCACTTATGGGGAAAATTTTTAAGGTCACCTATATACACAGATAGAAATAAAGTAGCGGTTTAGTTGTTACCAAGGTTGGGGTGGAAAGAAATGGGAGATGTAGGACAAAAGATACAAAGTACAAAAAATGTAGGATGAACAAGTCAAAAGATCTCATATACAAAGTGTCTGAAAAGTCACCTCTAAAATTGCCATAGATAGGAAAAATGGGAAATTGTAGCAAAATCTACCTTTATTTACAAAATATTCATTATGAAATTTTACAAGAGGTGGCCAACAAATAGAGACTATATTGTAAATATTATTTTTTTGGCAGGGTAACAGAGCCTCACTCTGTCATCCCTGGTAGAGTGCTATGACATCAGAGCTGACAGCAACTTCAAACTCTTGGGCTCAAACCTCTTGCCTCAGCCTCCCAAGTAGCTGGGACTACTATCGGCGTGCACCACCATGTCTGGCTAGTTTTATTCTTTTTTAAAATTTTTGTTATTAATTGTTTTATATTAAATAATAGCAGTGTACATTAATGCAATAATGGGGTACAATGTGCTGGTTTTCTATACAATTTTAAATACTTACAACAAACTGGTTAACATAGCCTTTACTGCACTTTCTTAATTATTGTGTTAAGATATTTATACTCTACACTTAATAGATTTGACATGTACCCTTGTCAAATGCACCATAGGTGAGGTCCCAACAATTACCCTCCCTTCACCCATCCTCCCTTCTCCTCTCCCTCTCCTCTTCCCCCTTCATCTTGGGCTGTAGTTGAATTATAGCTTTCATATGGAAGTGTGGGTGATTATATATTAGTTTCGTAGTAGAGCTGAGTACATTGGATACTTTTTCTTCCATTCTTGAGATACTTTACTAAGAAAAATATGTTCCAGTTCCATCCATGCTTATTATTTTTATTTTTTAGGAGAGACAGGGTCTTGCTCTTGCTCAGGCTGGTCTCAAACTCCTGAGCTCAAGCAATCCACCTGCCTCAGCTTCCCAGAGTGCTAAGATTACAGGTGTGAGCCACTATGTCTGACTTTTGTAAATATTTAATAAAATATTATAATGAATATTATGTAAATTAAGGTGCATTTAGCTATGATTCCCATTTTCCCTATGTTGTACGGTGACCTTTGGTACACTCTGCACAATATGGGGACAATAGTTAATAATAGCATATTGTTTTCAAGATTTTTGCTAAATTAGTAGATTATCACTGTTCTTACCATGGGGGAATGGGAATAGAAAGCTATGTTAGATAATAGATATGTTAATTTGATGTACTATAGTAACCATTTTACTATACATATGTATCTTATAACATTCTGTAGTATACCTTGAATATACAAAATAAAATTTATTTTAAAAAATGAAAACACATTGCTCTTCTTCAGCAGCAGCAGCTGGGAGTGCCATCCTACCATGTCCCCAGACAAGAAACAAGATTTTTGAACAGCCCTACAAACAAGCAGAGTGTCCAACTATGTTTCATTTCTGCAGCTACTTGGTGTTCCAAATACCAATAAGCCAATTAGAGGCTAGAGAAATAGATCCCCCTTCAATCAGAGAGACTCAACTTTTCTGCTTTCTATGTCCTTATGTAAGAGTTTCATGGAAGCAGATAGTAAGTACAGCCTCCCAAAAGTTAATGAATGTTATCTGTTGCTGTGTATCATATCTGTAGGAATGTTGTCTCTTTTGAGTATGGACAGGGAGAAAATAACCATACGTAGAACCTGAAAACTAGATAGTTCAGAACAGGAGCCAAAGGCACCTTACTAGCAAATCTCGTTTTAATATTTCAGATATTAGTTTATTTATATGGTATATAAATATGTGAGGGGGCTGAGCAAATATGTGAAGTAGGTCTCTCCAGTGATTGCCTCCTACAGAAACATGAATTTGAACAACTTGCCATGCACAAAATTACCTTCACAAGAGCTAAGGAAACTTGAATATGCAAGTGAGACTGGAAAGTCCCTTTGGACCACAAAGATGAGGAAAATGGTGGTTGGGTATAAGGAGATCAGTTCTCTGTAACCACAGTGCCATTCCTCTAGTTATTATGGTACCACTCATGGAAAGTCCCCCAGGATTGATAGTTTCTATACTGGAAAAAGTGAGCTGTGGGTGAACATTTGACTTCTCCACTATCCTGGCTCCCTCTGTGGAAGACTCACTCCTGCCTCAGCTCACATAGAGCAGTATAAGTACCCCATGAGGCTGAAGCACCTAAAACAGGCTAGGGACAAATGAGGGGAGTAGTGGAAGCCAGCTCATGAAACCTGGCCGTGACTCTCCATCCCTGCCAGAGAGGATACCATACCATTGAGGATGTGTATGGGTATTATGTTGCTGGATGATTTGGGAGCCTAACCAGCTCTCCTCTACAGCCCAAGTGTCCTCCATGGATCTTCCACAGGTCCATACAAATTGAATACTGCATACGCAAAGGAGCCATTGTGACACACAACTATCCTGGGTATAGTAGGGGACATTCTAGTGCTGAAATGGAGTATATCACTCAGTCTACGCAGAATACCTAAACAAGCCCACTGTAACAGCATAAGCACAAACAAAGCCAAACTACAAAGACTGGGATAAATACCTAATTCATCAATGTATAGACAGAGACATACATCTATAAGAAATAAGAATAACCCAGGAAAGATGGTTTCATCAAATGGAGCAAAAAAGGTGCCAATGGCCAATCCAAAAGACAACCAGATAAACAATCTAGTGGACAAATAATTCAAAATAACACTTTTAAGAAAATTTAGCAAGCTTCAAGAAAACACAGAGAAACAATTTAGAAATTTGTCAGACAAATTGAACAGAGAATTGAAATAATAAAAAAGGAAATCTTAGAGCTAAAAAATACAATGAACAAAATTGAAAAATGGAATAGTGGTCATCAACAAAGGAATTGATCAAGCAAAAGAAAGAAGTAGTGGGCTTTGAGATAGGCTATTTTAAAATATAGTCAGAGCAAACTTACTTGGCAGGGGAGATACCATGATCATGAAGGCGGTTTCCCCAGGGCAAGATTTATCCATTATACTCTGGGTGTGCTGATCCCTATGATTTCCCCAAATGTGGGAAACTCGACTGCAGAATTTGTGGTAGTGGGGACTGAGTTCATGCTCTCCCTTAGGGGGGAAAAAAAAAGAAAATATAGTCAGAGGAGGAAAAAAGAAAAGAAACTGAGAAGGCACAAAGAACACTATGAGATCTATAGCATTTAAAAGGGAATATAGAATGATAAAGAAGTTGAAAGCTTATTCAAAGAAATAATAACAGAAAACTTTCCATATCTAGAAAAAAAGTACAAATATAGTAGACTCTCCATAGTTGATCACCTCCCTATATTCACCACCTTTTTTACATTTACCTAATTTTCATAGACCACACATATATCACATGTATCAGTACAATAGGCCTAATTTCTTATGTTGATCACCTCCTTATGTTGGCCAGTTTGTTATAGTCTCTTGGGTGGTCAACTTACAAAGCTTCTACTATATACAGGTCAGGAAGGTCAAAGATCACCAATTACTTTCAAACCAAATAAGATAATCCCAAGTCATATTACAATCAAATTCTCAAGATCAAAGACAGGATCCTAAAAGCAGCAAGATATAAGAAGCAAATAACCCAAAAGAAAATTCCAATATGACTATCAGTAGACTTCTCAGAAGAAATACTATCCTATAACACTTGAGAGAGACAGGTGGTATATTCAAAGTACTGAAAGGAAAAAAACAAAGCAAAACTATCAATCAAGAATATTTTACCCAGAAAAAGTATCCTTTAAAAATAAAGGGGAGGTAAAAATATTCCCAAACAAATGCTGAGGAAATTCATTATAACTATATCTACCTTAAATGAAATTCTAAAGGGAGTTCTTAAAGCAAAAAACAAGGTCACTAATAATAAAAAGGACACATCCAATGGGCATAAAACCCACAAGTGATAGAAAGTATTCAAATTCAGAATACTCTAAATTTTAATCATGAGATATAAACCATGTTACCCTTAGGAGGAAGATTAAAAGACAAGATAAATAAAAAGGAAAGTCAGGCCAGGTGCGGTGGCTTATGCCTATAATCTTAGCACTTAGGAAGCTGAGGCAGGTGGATTGCCTGAGCTCACAGGTTTGAGACTAGCCTCAGTCAGAGTGAGACCTCATCTCTAAAAATAGCCAGGCATTGTGGCGGGCACCTGTAGTCCCAGCTACTTAGGAGGCTGAGGCAAGAGAATAGCTTGAACCCAAGAGTTGGAAGTTGCTGTGAGCTATGACGCCAAAGCACTCTACAGAGGGCAACAAAGTGAGACTCTGTCTTTCTGTCTCAAAAATAAATAAATAAATAGGAAAGTAATCACAATAGTTTGTTAAGGGATAAGCAATATAAAATATGTGAATTGTGTCATCAAAGGCAAAAAATACAGGGAGTAATGAAGGTAAAGAGTAAAGTGGATTGTTTTCCCTTTTATCAATCTTTTCTAAATAACTTGGTATAACTAGTATTTTTTGTCAACCTCCTGGTGAAAAAAAGCTGAGATATTTCATAGATGAACTAAAAATAAAAGGGAATAAATCAAAATATACTGATAGAGAAAATGAGTTCAACCCAAAGGAAGACAGTAAGAAAGGAAGAAAGGAACAAAAGTTCTATAAGACAATTAGAAAACAAGTAAGAGTGTAACAGTACCAACTCCTTATGTATTAATAATTACCTTGAATGTAAATGTATCAAATTCTCCATTTAAAAGATATAGAATGGCTAAAAGGATCAAAAGACAAACCCCAACTACATGTTGCCTATAGAAGACTCACTTCACTTGTAAGGAAACGAATAGATTAAAAGAGAACAAGTAGAAAAAGGAACCAAAAGAAACCAGGAACAACTATATTTGTAGGAGATAAAATATTATTCATTTATTTTATTTCAAAATACTAAGGGGTACAAGTGTTCTGGTTACATTTGAGGGGTTGAGTCAGGGCTAAGTAAAATAGACTTCATGTTAAAAGCTATAAAAAGAGAATAATAAGGTCACTATATAATGACTAAGGTTTCAAAACAGTAGGATATAAACCATATGCACCCAATATGGAAGCCCCTCACTATATAAAGCAAACCTTAATAGAGCTAAAGCAAGACACAGACATCAATACATAATAGTAGGGGCCTTCATCACCTTACTTTCAGCAATAGACAGATCAGTCATATAGAAAATCAACAAAGAAACAATGGAATTAACCTTCACCCCAGACTAAATGGACCTAACATATATTTAGGGAAGATTTCATCCAATAGCTACAGAAGACACATAACTCCCAGGTGCATATAAAACATTGTCCAGGATAAATCGTATGTTAGACCAAAAGCATGTCTTAACAAATTCAAAAACACCAAAATCAGATCAAATATCTTTCCTGACCATAATGGAATAAAACTGGAAATCAAGAACAGGAGGAACGTCAGAAACTGTACAAATACATGAAAATTAAACAGCATGCTCTTACACAACCAATAAGTCAATAAAGAAATTAAAAGAGAAGTCAAAATCTCTTGAGATAAATGAGAAAGAAAATAAAACACCTGTATAACAATACTTATAGGCCATAGCAAAAGCAGTCCTTACAGGGAAGAGTATAGCAACAAACACATCAACAAATAAAGATCTTAAATAAACAACCTAGTGATCCATTTTAAGGAACTAGAAAAATAAGAGCAAAATAAATCCAAAATTAGTAGAAGGAAAATAATAATAAATGTAAGAATACAAATAAAATAGGGACTAAAACAATACAAACGATCTGTGAAATGAAGAGGTATTTTTAAAGATAAACAGAATTGGCAAATCTGTTTGAATTGAAAAAGAAAGAGAAGTCAAATAAATAGCATCAGACATTTTTAAAAGGATACATCACAACTAATAACACAAAAAAGCAAAGAATCATAAGAAACTACTATGAATGGTTATATGCCAACACATTGGAAAACCTAAAATAAATAGATCAATTTCTGCATACATGTAACTTACCAAGATTGAATCAAGGAGAAATACAACATATGAACAAAATAATGTGTGACAAGATTGACAGAATAATAAAACTTCTCTCATCAAAGAAAATCCAGGACTAACAAAGCCGGGGGCATCAGCCTCTCAAACTTTAGGCTGTATGTACTGCAAGGCCATAGTGATCAAAGCAGCATGGTATTGGAAGAAAAATAGAGATATAGACATCTGGAATCAAATAGAAAACCAGGAAATGAAACTAACATCTTACAGTCACCTAATCTTCAAAAAACCAAGCAACAACATACACTGGGGGAATTCCTATTTAATGAATGGTGCTGGGAGAACTGGATATCCACATGTAAAAGTTTGAAACTGGACACGCACTTTTCTCCACTCACAAAAATTGATTCAAGATAAATAAAAGACATAAATTTAAGGCATGAAGCAATCCTCTAAGAAAGCATGGGAAAAACACTTGAAGATACCGGCCTGGGGAAAGATTTTTTGAAGAAGACTTCCATGGCAATTGCAACATCAATAAAAATAAACAAATGGGACTTAATTAAACTGAAAAGCTCTGTACAGGTAAGGAGACAACAATCAAAACAAATAGACAACTACACAACGGGAAAGGATATTTGCATATTTTGAATCAGACCAAAGCTTGATAACTAGGATCTACAGAGAAGACAAATTAATCAACATGAAAAAAGCCAACAATCCCATTTATCAATGTGCAAGAGAGATGAACAGAACCTTCTCTGAAGAACACAGATGAATTGATAACAAACATGAAAAAAATGCTCATGGTCCCTAATTATTAAAGAAATGCAAATCAGAACCACCCTTATCATCTAACACCAGCAAGAATGGCCCACATCACAAAATCTCAAAACTGTAGATGCTGGCTTGGATGTGGAGAGAAGGGAACACTTTTACACTGCTGGTGGGACTGCAAACTAATACTACCTTTTTGGCAGGAAGTATGGAGAACCCTCAGAGAACTCAAGCTAGACCTCCCATTTGATCCTGCAATCCCATTACTGGGCATCTACCCAGAAAGAAAAAAAATCCTTTTATCCATAAGGTCACTTGCACTAGACTGTTTATCGCAGCTCAATTTACAATCACCAAAACGTGGAAACAGCCTAAATCCCCACCATCCCAGGAATGGATTAACAAGCTGTGGTATATGTATACCATGGAATACCATTCAGCCATTAAAAAAGATGGAAACTTTACAACCTTTGTAGTAACCTGGATGGAAGTGGAACACATTATTCTTAGTAAAGCATCACAAGAATGGAGAAGCAAGAATCCTATGTACTCAATTTTGATACAAAGACAATTAATGACCTAGTACATGGTGGGGGTTGGGGAAGAGGAGAGCACAGAGAGGAAAAGAGGGAGGCAGGTGGGGGTGATGGTGTGTGACCCACCTTTTGAGGGTGGGACACAATTATAAGTGGAACTTTACCTAACAAATGCAATCAATGTAACCTGGTTCTTTGTACCTTCAATGAATCCCTAACAATAAAAAAAAAAAAAAAAGAAGTAAATTCCAGGACTGAAAGGGTTCATGGCTACTAATTCTTCACAAATTATTCCAAGAAGTTGAAAGGAAGAAATCTCTGCTAAACTCATTCTATGTGGCTATTACCTTGATTCCAAAATCAGATAATGAAACAAGCAAACAAAAAGCTACGGGCCAATATCCCTAGTAAACATATATGCAAAAATCTTCAGCAAAATAGTAACAATTTGAGTTCAATAGCACAGTACAAAGATTATTCACAATATTCAAATTAGATTCATCCCAGGACACAAGGATGGTTTAACATATGCAAATCAATAAACGTGATACATTACACTAACAGAACAAAGGATGAAACTCAAGCAATCGTTTCAATAGATGCAGAAAGGGCATTAGACAAAATTTATAATCAACTTGATGATAAAAACTCTCAACAAATTATATATAGAAGAAACATACCTGAACATAATAGCCATATACGATAAACCCACAGCCAGCATCATACTGAATGAGAAGTTAAAATCTTTCCCTCTAAGATCTGAAACAAGACAAGGATATTCATTTTTACTACCATTCTTCAGCATAGTATTG